TTAAACTATTGTTTAGTAAACTATTGAGTGAGTTTTGAAAATTAAGTTGATAGTCAATCTTAAATACAATTAAATTTTCCAATACAAAAACTTGTTCTTTTTTGCTTGTTTAATCTCTCTCTCTCTCTCTCTCTCTCAATTCATATTTGTTAACTTTAGAAAGCTTGAGGCATCTATTTTATGAGCAAAATAACTTTCAGGAGCAGCAGAATAGATAAGATTCATAATTGTGAGAGCAAGTGGTTCACTTTTATTTATTATTTTGCAAATGAAGCGGTTTTTTTTTTTTCAAATTAGATTGATATAACTAGTCTTTATCATATACATCATTAAGTAATTTCTATAATATTTTACCAGTATGTGCATCAAATAATATCAAAAAGTTGTTCAAAGCAAAACTGGAATATGTCACATCTGGATTTAATTAAGATACTACATAAGTTTTTGAATCAAAAAATAAATACTTAATACTGTCTATTTTTTTTTTTGTAGAATGAGTAATCTAATATGAATTTTTTTTTCCATATTTATAAATTGAAAATAGACTTGAAAAAGCAGAAATTATAATGTTTGATTATAATGACTACGAAAAATTAAACAATGTTCATGAAAACTATTTTTTTTTTTGTTGAGATTTAATGCACATATCAACTTTTTTTTAAATGAAACAATTATGAAAGACGCCTTTATATGAAATTTTTTCATTATTTACTTTTATTATTCTAACATCTGGTTTTGTGTTTTTTTTCTTCAAATAGTATTATATATATATATATATATATATATATATATATATATATATATATATATATATATATATATATATATATATATATATATATATATATATATATATATTAATATATTAATAATTAGTAATAATATCCATCATAAACATAGCATCATCATCAATGTTATTTTAGTCAACTAAATATTTCATAAACTTTGACGGTTCTACTTTAAATAATAAGACTTTTTAAAATTTTTAACTCAAAAACTGATAATTTACTTTTTATTTCATTGAATTCAGTCATCAAATCAATAGGGTAAATAATCTTTTTTTGACGTGATTTTTTATATAAAATAGAAAGAAAAAAACAGCAATACTTCGAAACTATAAAAGTTATTGATTAAAAGATGATCAAGAGAATAATATAAAATGCATAAATTTACATAAACATGGATAAACTTATATAAACATGCATAAATTTATCAACTTCTATTGTTTCTGTAAGTTTTAGAATTTCAAAATGTAGATTAATTTATACATTTGAAAATTATGTGTTTACTATTATATATTTTAAGCTAATATTCTTTAAGGTTAACATTTTAATTTGGTTACTTTTTCTATAAATATCGGTGTCTTTCTATTCCTTAATCAATTTCAATATACTAACATTGGTATTGTTTTGAAATAAACAATAAATAGTTTGAACCAGTTTTAAATCCCTAATTAGTGTTGTTGTTTTTTTTTTTTCAATTTTTAAACGTTTAGTACAAACAGCCGAATTTAAATCATACTCCTAGCATGGGTTTTCTAAAATCATTTCTAGTTTATTTGCAGAAACACATTTATCATGGTTTGAATAACTTTGAATTGACCTTTGAATTAACATTTCAAAATCTGTATGAAATTAGATACTACCTTTTATTCTTATGTTTTTCGTCCTGGTCATTTTAAGCTAATCCTATATTAGGCCAGGTGAGGTTCTTTAGCGATAATAAAATACAAACTAAATGTGGCTATCATATAGATCATACTTTAAAAACACATATTTTTGTCTCATTTTAAACGTTAACCACATTTTAAATTATAAATATATAGTAAATTGTGATTCCATTGAGGAAAATGAAGGAATATTCTTTGACATCACGTGATTTACAGCTTTATTAGTTTTAATTAATTTTTATTTCTTGGTGTAGATAAGGCGATTTATAAGTTATTCGAATTCTTTTATTTGGAATTAGCATGATTTTGTCAGCGTATTATGTCCAAACAAGAGCTTTAGATGTTATGGTTTTTATCGCATCAAGTTTTTATAATGTTTAAAAAAACTTTCCTTTTTTTTATATAACTTTTAAATTTTTTTTTATTATCCCTAATTGTGAACCATTTTTGGTTACCCCTAATCATAAACTATTTTTGAGTCTGTAGATCAATTCCGCCCAAAACGTTAACTTAATTTTAACAAAATTTATTTGCAAAAATGTTTTAATCTACTATAGATCTTATAAAATAAATACTTAATGTACTATATATATACTATAGCTCTAATCTGTTCTAGTACATATTAATTCGATATATTTGTCACAACACAATATTTTTAACAATTTTCACACTAATTATTAGAATTCCGACCAAGAAAGCGCTTAATTAAGAAAAATTGCCAATAGACGTTTAGAACAGATTATATTATTAACCTAAAAATGCTTATTTTTTTAAAATCTTATTCAAACTTGGTCGTGGTTTTAAGATTTTTTTTTTATTTTTTTTTAAAAAAAAAGAATCTTCAGTCTGGGTTTTTTTCACTACAAACATTTTTAATTTATGTTTAGGTAAAATTTATCAAATTAATTTTTTTCGTCTTTTCATGATTCACAGACATGATCAATTAATGGAAATGTTGTAGTCAGAAAAATAATACGGAGACCCTTTAATTATTAAAAAAGTTAATATTAAAAAAAAACAATTTTATACTATTAATTTGATGTTATTGTTACTGCATTTATTACTTGGTTTTTTATCTACAAGTTTGCTAAATTTTTTTTATTAATTGTTTTTGCAACTATGGCATTCCCACTAGAGTATTGCGATATCACTATCGAGCTATTGAAGTATCAAAAAACACCGAACTATCGGTAGTAATGATATTGAAAGTGCGTTATCAAAAAACTCAATTTTAATATTAAGTGTTTGAAAGTGAAAACATTTAATATTGAAAACCAATAATGAAAATTGTTCCCATCACTACCGAAGTCCCTTTTGCCACTACGGAACTCAATATCAAAAGAAAAAAAAAGAAATTGATAATAATAATAATACGAATTTTTTGAAATAAATTTAATTAAAAATATTTCTTTCTCAATTAAAAAACTTGAGTGCATAATAATTTTACCTGAACATTTGACATTTTATTAAAATTAAATAATGTAAATTTAATTTAAAATAATTCTCTATTAAAATTTTTATTAAAATTGAATTATACAGTACAATCTCTATAATTTGAATCTCCTTAATTCAAAACCTTCATAAATTCAAAACCTCTGTAATTCGTTTAAATCATAGTCATAAGAATAAATTTCTTATGACTAAGATTAAATACAAAGTCACCGAAAAGCGCTTAAGAAAAAATCAACTTTCTATAATTCGAAAACCACTTTAATTCGAACTTTTATTTTTTCCCATAAATTTGAATTAGAGAAATTCTACTGTATTAAATAAATTTCATAAGATAATTAATTTTCAATTATTTTTATGGTTTAATTTTTTTTGTTGCAGAGGTTATTTCTTTTAAAATAAAATTTACAGATCTGTCTAAATTGTGAGATTAAGTTTGCTTTATTGTTTAGAAGAAAGTGAGTTAAGAGTTTATATTGCAAAAGGCAAGTCCTTATTGGGAATTCTTTCAAAAAGATTTTTGCGGCAAAGATGTTGCCCAATGCAAATAGTGCAGATTAAAAACTCCAAGCAAGGCAGCACCACAAAGTGACTAAAGTTTCATCATCGAGGCTGCCACAAAGACATTTTTGAACAGTATTGAAAATTACAGAAAAAAGCGATCATCTGAACAACATCCCAGGTTGTTGAAGGAGTTAAAAAAATGAAAAAGGACATTTCTTCAGATTGCAAAGTAAAAACTTCTGAATGATAATGTAAAACTTCTAAATGGCAAAGTAAAAGCTTCTGAATGGTTTAAAGACCTTATGGGTTTTACAATGCTTGAAGTTAATATTTTTATACCGATTTGCAGATCACCTTTGAACGTCCTAAAGCGTGAACTTACATGTAATAATGCTCGTCACAATTTTTTTACAAATTGTATTGTCAATGATTGGAATAACTTGTCGTCAACATGCAAAAAGACTCCGTCAGTTAAAACATTTAAGAATAGAACTGACAAGTTTTTTTTTTCTACAGCTGCAAACAGTACATCTTTTACTGAAGATAAGCTGCACGTTTATTAATTTATTTGTACCTTTACCAGCTATAAATATTAACTTTTTAGACACTATTTATTATAGACGTAAACTTTAGTTAAATGAAAGCAATCTTTTCTCTCTTTTTCCCAATTTCGATATCAATTTACTTGCTATGAAATAACAAATGTTTTTTTTTTTCTTAAAGTTTATATTTTACAAATCATAAATTTTTGAATAATTTGTTGGGTTTTTTTTTAATTATTTGTCATATTATCTAAAAAAAAAAAAATTTTGACAATGGGGTGTCCGGGATTAAGTTTGTGAAATATATATATTTCGTTGGCTTTCCTGGCTTCAATTCACTTTTCAAAATAAATAAAAGTTATATAATATACAAATTTAATTATATTTTATATAACTTTTATTTATTTTGAAAAGTGAATGGTTATATAATATATATACACACTATGCACTATATATTTACATACTTATAAATTATATATATATATATATATATATATATATATATATATATATATATATATATATATATATATATATATATATATATATATATATATATTTATATATATATATATTTATATATATATATATATATATATATTTATATATATATATATTTATATATATATATATATATATATATATATATATATATATATATATATATATATATATATATATATATATATATATATATATATATATATATATATATATATATATATATATATATATATATATATATAATTTATATGCCCACTGTTATATATAAATATCTACAAACGTATTTTGAGTTGCCCTGAACGTTTTATAATTTTTCAAACTTTTGTCATCACCTTTAACAGTTGCACTAATCTCCATATCTTTGAAATGTTCTAAAAATGATTCGTCTCCTTCAGGTGTCAAGCTCCATAATTTTATAAAATCTTTAACAGTTATCTTTGGTATAGTTATACTTACGTTAACCATGGGACTTTCTAAACAAAAAACAATACCAAATATTAAAATTAATAATTTTATTTAGACTTAAAAATTTGTAGGTTGTATGTCAGGGAAACAAGAATATAGGAAAGAGTTTTAAAGGGTTTTGTACAGGGAATAAAAACTAGACAAGTTAAAGTTTTTTAAACATGCATGGAAGTACAGATACAGTTAAAGTATGTGAATAATGAATGACAAGTCAATCAAAAATGATTTTTGGAAAATGGAACAAAAGATAATAGCTCTTTTGAGCAGCAACCATGATAAAATTGTAAAAAAGAACTTTACAAAAATGAAAGAGAGCCTCAAGCTTGGCAGATAAAGCAGGTCTAACTAAGTTTGTAATGCGTTTTAGGACCTTTTCTAGATCAGAAAAAGCATCATTAAAAAACCTAGCCCAAACATGGCCGCAGTATTCCATACAGGGACGAATAAGAGATTTGTAGAGGTAGAGAATGGAATCAGAAGCAAGATAATGATAAGCACATTAAAGAAAAACAAACTTAGCAGATGTTAACTTTGTAATTGATTATGGTTTCCATAAAAAGTTATTAGTGAACAATAATACAAAAAGACCTAAAAAACAGGACTCCGTCAGTGGGTTGCCACTAATTAATATAGGAATTTCAACAGTTTTGTGATAGTTGTTTACAGTAGTGAAGTTTTGTTGGAGTTGAAATTTACATGCCGCTACAAGCCTCATTCTTTTACAAAAGTGAGATCAGATTCGAAATTAAGTGCTTGTTCTAAGCGATCAAAAAAAAAAGATTTTTTGTCAAGACAGAAGTAAAAAGATGAGTTCTTTACAGAGTCAATTTAGATGTGTGTATGTCAAGAGGATCAATAATGTTGATAAAAAACAAAACAGGATCAAGGATAGAACTTTTAGCTCTCCAAAACTGGAAATGAAGAAAGGTGTACCCCTTTGAAGAAGGCCTACACTTTTAGTTTTTTAGCGGATAGAAAGAAATAATTTATATCCCAAAAATTTTCTCACACCATATGATGCAAACTTATGGAGAACAACAGCATGTCAAACTGTATCAAAAGCAATAGATATTTTAATATAAATAGCCCTTGCCTCACGGCCTCCATATAATGCACAATAGAATCTTTCAGTCATAGCAGTTAATAAGTCGGATGTTAACGAGACAATCGAAAACGGTATAGATTGTGTGAAAGTAAGTTGTTTGATTCATGGGATGTTAGAAATTTGTTAAAATATAAATAATTGGTGATCAATATTTATTAAACAAAAGTTTTTTTGATTTAAAAATTATTCTAACATCTCGAAGAAGTTCAGCCAAGTTATATTAGCAAAATGGAGATTTTTATGGTCTGTGCTTTTTTTATTAGTTGAAATTTGGTGTGGTAGTCCAAAATCATGTTATTTAATGTATATTAAATAATATACGCAAAATACCAAATAAAAGGCTGTAAAATATTGGTAAGAATATTTTATATGTATTTTTTTATCAAGTTATGTTTATAAATATTATTATCGATTCGTACCAGTTGTATGGATATACCAGATTCATTATTGATTAATACTAATTTTATTATCCATAAATATTATAATTGATTCATTCTAACTATATTTTTTTGACTTTAGTGAAGGGCTTCAATAAAAGTTTGGATAGGTACAATTAATGTATGAATGATAATTATTACAGGGAAAATTTTTTTTTTATGAGTTTTATGAATTATAGTTGGCATTTTCAAAAAGTGTGTAAAAAATACTATTAGGAAGTTTTCATTCTTTGTTAAATCAAACTACTAAACTTAAATAATTTATATTAAAAATAATGAAATACCTGTTAAATTATATAAAATAACAGTTTCAAATCCGTTTAGTTTGCCTTTTAAAACAAAATTAAATTTTGGTGTGTTTTCTTGTGATTCTTTTGGAGTGTCAGTTTTAGTAGTAGCTTTTTCTGCAGTTGAAGATGAGCTTCTAGGAATTTCTAAATTGAGATCTATTTGACCATCCAGTTTAATCATAGTTTGGCTATGACCATAATTACCATTATAACCTGCATCAATTGATACATATGTATCATTTATGACAAGTGATCTCAATAGAAGCTTGTTACTTTGGATAAAATCTAAAACAAAAATTTTGAAAAATATTTTGAAAAGAAATTGAAAATGAGTATGAAAAAAAATTAGTAAATACAGTGAACTCCCAAAATCTCGAACCTCCAAGGGACCTAGAAAATAGTTCGAGTTAGCAAATGTTTGAGTTATCGGAACATTCTATATCACGAACTTTAACCGATAAGTAAAAATATTTCGAGTTATTAAAAGTTTTGATCTCAAAAGTAAAAATAATACATTATAAATTGAAAAATGTTCTAATGTCACTCTGTTTTAGTTTTGAAGATACGTCTCTATCAAATATAATCGAGACTGCATTGAGCTTTTGTTGCAAATCTTCACCCATAAAACTAAATGGCATATAGTCATTCAACGCTTGCAATGCCTCCTGAATATCACAAACTTTTGGGCAAACTGGATTGATTGCATTATCACCATCAATATCTTCTTCGTCATAATTATCATGTTCATTCGCTGCATTTTTAACTTCTTCAATTAACTGTTCATCTGTAAGTTAAGGTTCTGCGCTAATTAAGCTTTTAAGTTGTACCTAAAGGGTAAAAGTTTCAAGTTTTTCTATCTGATTTTAAACCTCTTTAAAGAGGTTGTTGTCTTTATCTGCATTATAAATTTCATCAAGTTTATACCTAGATAAAATTGTGGGGAGAGTTGTTTCCTTGTCTTTATCTGAATATGCAGATTTCTGCTTATCTTCAGAAATTCCTGCTTTTGTAATGATTTATTAGGTTGCATACAAAAAACAATCCATATTCATCTGCATTATAAATTTCATCAAGTTTATACCTAGATAAAATTGTGGGGAGAGTTGTTTCCTTCCATGACGTGGTCATTTCAGCTGTACAAGAGTTACCCTCTCCACATACCGTCTTGAAAGAAACATTATGCCTATTTTTCAAACGATCAAGCCAACCATCAGACGCTTGAAATCCATTTATATTAAATTTTTCAGCAAGTTCTTTGTCTTTTGTTATAAGAATTGTTGCTGATACTGCCACGTTTCTACACCTTACATTTGTTACCTTGCGTCTTCATACGTTCAAAAAAATTTTCTTTATTTTTGATCCATGTTGACAGCGCATTTTTGGAATGCCATGTTTTATAGCAACCTGAGACTTTGACAATCCAATTTCCCTTATAGCAGCGTACTTTTCTTTAACTGATTTTGTATTTATTTTTCTCTTTACAGCAACAGTAGCCATAAAAAAATACCAATGACCATAAACAAATTTTATTATAATTATTAATATCGATTATTGCAACGCACGTTAGTATAACTTAAACAACAAACTTAATCAAACTATTATTATAGTTAACATTGCAACATTGCAAGGACTTCATTGAAGTTTTTTTTCGTATTTTTGCTCTAAAGTTCAAGTTATCGGAAAAATATTAGCTACGGGAATAGATAAAATGGTTCGACTTAGCGAAAGTTCGAGTTAACGCGTGTTCGAGTTATCAAGCTGTTTTTATGTGAAAGTATTAGTGAGGGTTCAAGGGGAACTCAAAAGTAATTCGAATTACTGGAAGTTCGAGTTATCCGGGGTTCGAGAAATCGGGATTTCACTGTACACATAAAAATTACAACAATGAAACATAAACTTCTGGATCCGTCACTGATATATATATATATATATATATATATATATATATATATATATATATATATATATATATATATATATATATATATATATATATATATATATATATATATATATATATATATATATATATATATATATATATATATATATATGTATATATATATATATATATATATATATATATATATATATATATATATATATATATATATATATATAATTATAACTATTATTATTATATATAATTGGCGCTGTAAAAAATTGATTCTATTTTTAAAAACCCATCCTTATTTCCTAAAGACTCAAGTGTTTTTATTTTTTTGAACGACTATATATTATTTATAATTATTTATAATTTATAATTCCATGGAAAAAATTATAATTACAATTTATTATTTATTATTATATATAATATATTAATTTATATGTTTATTTAACAATTTTCTATAAAAGGTTGATTAAAATTACTTATGATGATTAGTTTTAGCCTTTTTAAATATTTTGATAAGACCTAAAATTTAATATACATAGAAATGGGTCAAAAAGTAGGCAAAGCAACAAAGTGGCAAATAGTAGGTATGAAGATATCAATGATCAGTAACCGAGAAATAGCAGGAAAATCAAAAATTTCAGAGAAAAGCGTCACATACACTATAAAGGCATTTAAAATAACAGGTGGCATCCAAAATAATGTAGGATATAGAAGATTAAAAAAAAACTACTGAGCGCAAAAAAAAAATTATAATTTGTCAAATCTTAGGTTACGTTATCGTGAACTCACCGACACATTCAACGAAAACTGTGAAAAACGTATTTCATAAAATACAGTTAAAAATATTTTACTAAGGAAAAAAATTGGTCTCCATGCAGCAGTTAGAAAAATGTTGACGGTCAGAGATCGACTGACAAGATCAAGGTAGTTTATACGAAAATAATCTATGAAATTCCGTGGGTATTCCGTAAAATTTCATGAAAATCCCATGAAATGCTATAAAAAAAACATACTTTTCTCATGGAAATTGAAATTCCGTGAAATTTCCATGGGGAAATTTTCATAGAAATTGAAATCCAAAGTGAGTGAACTATGTTTTTTTTTCATAGATCATGATGCATCATGGGTTTTATAAATACGCGTTTAAAGATGCCTTCGTAACTCGTAGAGTTACAATCATTTGTAACTTGAGAAAATAATATTTTTAGCATTCTTCTATTTTTCTGTATTTAATAAGATTATAAATTATATATTTTATATAATGCATCACATTTAATATGATTCAAAATAAACATACATAAATGAACAACTAGACATACTTTCAATAGCTAGAATATGATAAATGTGATAAATGCATCATAATAAGATATTATCAGAGATTTTGGTCTTGAGGCATAAATCTTGGTCCTGAAACGTCTCGAGACCGAGATTTTTAAGACGGTCTAAGTCTTGGTCATGGTATTGAGTCATAATTGGTTGGTCTTAGTCTTGGTCTTGGCCTTTACTGTCTCTGAATATTATCATATTATAATGCATTATAAAATGCATATATTATCTTATTCTAGCTATTGCCAATAGCTTTGCTTACTTCGCATAACTTGCAATAGTATATAGCAAGTATGTCAAGCAAATCAGTATGATTTTTGATGTTTATTTGGTTTACTACAAATATTTTAGTTTTAACGTACATTAGACAAAGAGTGTATTAGATATGCTTAGTTAAGCAGTGGATCGGATAAGATTAGATAACTAGTACTATCTTCTTTAATTTTTTTCTAATGACTTTAGTTTGCGTTTGTTTCTTTAGTTTGCAAGTGTTCGAATTTAAAACACTTTATTGTATGGTGAATGTTTATTAAGTTTTAAAACACTTTATTTTATGATAAATATTATAATAACATTAATATTTTTAAATTTTAGTTTTGTTAAGTTGTATTTGTCTTCTTGTTGACGCGACTATTCTAGGATTTAGTTAGCGACCAGATCTAATTATCCCTGGTCTAATCGACCAGGGATAATTATTATGTTTTTTAACTATTAAATTGCTGAATAATTAGAATATATAAATAATGTAATAGTTTGTGTATAAATCCTTTTAGTTTTACATTATTTTTTCATTTAAATTACTACATTGAAAGCCGACAGATTTGACTCGCAATATAAATAATATTGTTCATCATTTATAACATTGTCAGATTTTATATTTAATATTTTTAAAATTGTTTTATTAAAATGGTAGTGTTTTAAAAATATATAAGTTAATTAATGTGCAAGATTTTACTTCACAGTTAAATGTAAGCATATAAAAGAAATGTTTATAAATAATACGCTATTATTTATTATAATACAATTAAATTTATTTGTTTATATTTAATTAATGTGAAGTGTTCGTCTAAAGTAAAATTAATTCACACACTTATATTTATTATGTTTTTACATTACTATACTTAATAAATTACATATTTGTTATACTTATTATGTTTTAAATAGTAAAGTAAAAAAATAATAAATTTTTGAATTTAACAGTGCGTACATAGGTTTTTTTATTTTAACTTTATCATTTTGTTTAAATTACTGCATTATAAGCAGGCAAGTTTGACTGGCGATAGAAATAATGTTTTACATCCTTCAGATAGATGGAACAAAGAATTAAGCATTTTTTAAATAATCATTTATAAGTAATAATATATTTATTGCTGTCTTGTTCTATATAAATGTTACCAATATAAAGGTAACCTTTATATATGTGCATTAAATTTTTCATTTTAACTTTATCATTATATTTAAATTGCTACATTATAATTAGGAAGGTTTGACTGACAATATAAATGTTGTACACCATGCAAATAGCTTGAGCGAAAAAGCGATGATGATAATTTGTTTGACGATGGCAGTGCAGTCGCACTTACAAATGGTTTTAATATTTTTTTAAGTTTGAATATGTTGTATTGATAGTTCTTTTTAATTTGCTGAAGCTTGAAGTTATTCATTATCAAATTTATATATACCATTTTTATCAAATAATTTATATAATATAATAAACATGTAAATTGTTATAATTTCTGTAAAAATTGTTTTCTTAACCTATTTCAATTATTTATCACTGTATGTATATCTCTTATAGTATGATATTTCTTGTAGTTTTTTGTTTTATTTATTTTCAGTATGCTTATACATAGGCATGTGTTAAATATTGTAATGAAGTCAAAACTTAATGTTTTAGGTGCATTATAGCTATTATTTTTCAAAGATTTAAATTTTATTTTGTGGATTTTATTCCACGAAAACAAGTTGCGTGATAAATTTGTTTTTTTATCGTTTTATATGACAATTGAAATAACATTAGATTTCAAAAAATTGAAAGCAAAAGATCAAAAACCAGCATAAATGCTACACACTCCTACTCAGTTAAAATATAAGTAGCCAAAATACCAACACTTCCGCCAAAACTCATGGATTTTACACAGAAAAATCATAGGTTTTCCATAGAAATACCATGGTTTTTCCATGGAAACGTTTTTCAAATACCTATGGAAATTCGATGGTTTTTCTATGGTTTTTTTCATAGATTTTCCATGAAAATCTTTCGGACGGGAAAGTACTTGTTTAAAGACTTAATTTGGAAAAGTAATCGCTTTTTGTACCGAGGTTGCAAATTGGTGGCGGGAGTGTTGGTATTTTGGCTACTTTTATTTTAACTGAGTAGGAGTGTGTAGCATTTATGCTGGTGAGGGATATTTTAAATAATAGTTTAGATGTTATTTTTGTTTCTTCATTTTTTCAAATATTGCAGTTATTTTATTAATATTTTTTGTAATTATGTTTGATAACGTTTTCATATACAAATTTAAGTTTTAGTATACCATCCAAGGTAAGAGATTTGTTTAAAAAATTATTTTTTCTCAAATTAAAAAAATAAATTTTTTAATATCTTTAGTTTTTATTTTATGGTTGTTTAAATATGGTTTAATCAACAAAGTTTTACTATTTATGTATATATATATATATATATATATATATATATATATATATATATATATATATATATATATATATATATATATATATATATATATATATATATATATATATATATTAATATATAGCTTTACACAGCGCCTCTGTTTAACAAGACTTGCGTTTGGGTTAAGAGATGTTTCAAATTAAAAAAAATATCCTCCTTAACTTCGGAAGCACTTTGGAAGTTTGCAGAAGCTAATTTAATTTTTTTTAAATCTTACGTGTTTAAAAACTCACCTGAAGAAAGAACGTCAATATTAAAATTCTCAAATAATTTGCTGGTAAGTAAACCAATATTGATGCCTGGATTGCATTTATCCCCAGCTACTAAAGTATATATTTGGTCTTTGAAGGTTACTTTAGCTGAGCACTGACTGTATAGCGGAATTTCAATGCTTTTATCTTCTTTTGCTTTTTTAATCGCATTTATAAATTCGATAATATTTTTAACTTGATATAAAGGGCTTGTTGAGTCTATAGAAATTTTGGATTTATCTAAAATTTGAGATGTTTAAAATAAATAAATAAATTATTAATGATAACTAATTAAGATAATAAGTTCAATAAAATACAATACAAAAGTTAAAAAGTACGTTTTTTTATAATACTACATGAAATTAAAAGTAATACAAATACAATTCTAATTATGCTAATTGTACTTAATTGTGTATTTATGCTTAGCTAGCCTCATTAGACTACCTCTAGTTGTAATAGAAGATTTGCTTTTTGAAGATTTTTTTTTTCACAAATTAATTTAAATGATCATAAAAAGAAGATTCGTAAAAAAGAAAGCATTAAAAATCTATTCAAAAAAAATCAACAAAATGATTTTTTTAATTCTCTTTTCCTTACTTATCTGTTTCATTTTCAATCGAAATAAAAATAGCCATATAATAGTAAAATATCAGAAAACCTAATACTTTTCATCGTTCACAACTAAATAATAACATAATTTAAATTCCATTCAACTACCATAAAACTTAACATATTTATACATTATGGAGTTGGGAATTGCTGGAAGAAAAAAATAAAGTTTATAAAGCAAAATGACAATTTGACTTCAAAGCTTGCAAATTATATGAATTAGGAAAATAAAATTAAATTATATGAATTAAAATTAAATTATATGAATTATATGCAAATTATATGAATTAGGAAAATAAAATAAAATTATATGAATTAGGAAAATAAAATTAAATTATATGAATTAAAATTAAATTATATGAATTATATGCAAATTATATGAATTAGGAAAATAAAATTAAAGGAGCGAATTTCAAAGAACTGATGTTCGAGAAAAAAAACTAGACAAATACAAGTTTTTCCGGGTAAATAAAAAAACGCAAATGCTTTTACTTAGTTATTGTTCAGCTTTACGTTAATAAAAATTTTGCTCAAATTTTTATTAACATAAAGCTGAACAATTACACCAAAAACGCTGAGTAAAAGCTATTGCTTTTTTTTATTGACCTGGCCTAATGTATAATCATAGATATAAATTGCTCGGAAAAACTAAACATTATTAAAAGTTAGAAAAATTTCTTAATATTTAAAAAAAGAATTTATTATTCTAATATTTGACAAAGGTAAAATCTTGAATATTTTTTACATAAATAGCCAGTGCCGGATCAAGGGGGCTAGGGGGGACTATAGCCCCGAGCCCCGAAAATTTAGGGGCCCCAAAAATGTTATAGATTTTTTTTTTTTTTTTTTTTTTTTTTAAAGCCATTTTTAGGTTCTGACCTATAAAAAGGCCTCCAAAAACAAAAATAGCCCCGGGCCCCAAGAAGTTTTAATCCGCCACTGTAAATAGCTTTTATATCTTCTTGAATACTTTTTCTCCATAGTAAATTTATTTCAATCTAAGTGTTTCTGCTTTTAAAACTGTAAAAAAAAAAAAAAAAAAAAAATGCTTGAAATCTTACCCATAAAATCTTTTCTAGCTAGTAAAGTATCAAACGTTTGATCATTGAAATCCATATCGAATGGAATAAACTTTCCCATAGCGCCTGCATAATTAAGATCATCGCTGAAATAGTCATATGCTTCATTTTGCATCAAATATGCGATGAGAAAAAGAATATTTCTGATCATCTTTCAACTAAATTAAAAATCCTCTATGATAATAAATACTTATAAAACTATATAAAGGGAAGATATAAATACATTAAAAATTTTTTTAAATAACTTATTATACAATTTTTATTTAATCTACAGTTTTGTAAAATTGAGAGACTCGTTCAAAGAGGTAGGCCATTGAAAATGAAAATAACTTTATTTTAATTAAGAAAAATAGATATTATCTAATAAAAATCACATTTGATAATGTAATAACTAGTTGTTGCAATTACCTTAAGTAGTATTGCAAACTCTATTTTGACTTTAGCAGACCCGTAGCAAGCTTTTTTTTGAGATAACTTTCAGACACAGATCGCACTCCAAATATTTATAAGTTTATGTTCATGTCAAATAAGGAACATTTGTAAAAAATTGAAATGACTGAAACCTGGGAACAAATAAAGCTTTTGTTGTTGTTTCAGATTTTCTTTCAGACATGGAGCCACTTTCAGACATGGAGCCCACTGCAAACATTTATAAGTTTATGTTTATATCAAACATTTATAAAAAATTGAGATAGCAGCCTGGAAACAAATAAAGCCCTAATCTCTTTGCCCCCCGCCTTTAACGTTACAGCAACAAGTTTTTAAAATAATTTTTTTTACTATTTATTACCACATTTATGTTCATTGACAAATTATAAAATTCATTAAATAATCTCTTAGTGTTCAAAAATTTGACAATATAAAGTTTGAACCCCCTTAATTTGAAGGGGCTGTAAACTTTGCAGGGTCATAAAAATTGAAGACTAAATTGCTTTTGTTTAAAATTGGAAATTTGTCGATGAATATAAATTCAGTTATAAATAGTTAAAAAAAAATAATATTTTATAAAATTCGTTTTTCTTAGGTAGGTGGAAAAGAGTTAAGACCTTTGTTTGTTCCCAGGCTCCGGCTTAACTTTTTACCAATGTTCCTTATTTGATATAAACATAAACTTATAAATGTTTGATGTGGGCTCCATGTCTGAAAGTATTTTATCTCAAACAACAAAAAAAGCTACGGGCCTGTTTAACAATTACAGTATAAAAATACTGTTATGTAATGTTAGTATGAAGGTTATAAAAGTACAAAAATGCTTTAGTAACTTGACTTTTATTTTTAAAATAAATCAATACATTTTAAAATGCATTGTTTTAACATTTTAAATAAAAAACACTCAAAGAAGAAGTGACAAGTGATGCATGGTGGTGAGTTGTGAAGTTTTTGCTTCATAATTAAGAAGATTCGATTAGTATCATTCATAAGTAAGAGGTGTTAGGTTAATTATTACTAAGTTTAATGATACCAGCATATCTCTTGCAGTATGCAGTTTAATTTGTTTCCACTGCAATAGCTTTTTTTCTCTTCATTTTTTAAAGCTATAGGGTTCAGAGAAAGGTTTATCAAAAATAAAAATAAAAAGGATAGTTTTACTGGCTTTACTAGAGTCCCCGCCACAATTGTAATGTGAATATAGTAGAAAAAAATTACTTCAAACATGTTCTGGAAAAAAAATGTAATGGTAAAAATTAAACATTTTGAAGTTGCATTAGGAAATATAGCTAAATTTATAAAAATTTAAATTTACAATACTTTAAAAAAATAGAGTTGTTCCAAAAATATTTTTTTTGTAAAACCAGTTAACATCTGATTGCATATATTCTTTTGAATTGCATTTTGACTCTTTTTAACAACTCTTTTGGTTGTTAAATATGGTAAATGAACCAATTTACAAAAAAAATTATTAAAAAACTATTTTCAGTCAAACTATTATAACAAGCTTTTACTTTACACAAAAAAAGAAAAATTGAAAAATTTATTTAGCTAAAAATATAAAAATATAATATGGAAATATGAATTTAACAGTGAAGGACGTTCTAGAGTGTAAAACCATTTGTGGAACTGCTAAAATTTGCAGAAATTTAGTTATCACTTTCAAAGGGTATGTAAAAAAAGCAAGTTCTATTGGTGTAACTAAATATGTGTCAAAATATAGACAGTCACAAGTATATTCATAAAACTTTTTTTTATGAATAAAATTATTAGCTGATTAGATGAAAACAACTTGTAAACTTTATTTTGATTGGCCTCAAAAATAGTGAGACAGCTTGTATATCCAAAAGAATTTTCCATCTAAATTGAATGATTGAATGAATATGAATCTGCAACGTATGATTAGTTGCATGGATTTTTAAGTCAATTAAAATTCATCGGTATGTATTGTTAAAACAACAAGTCTATATTGAGTGGGTGTTCTCAACAAACACGATGTAGTTCATTTTTTGAGAAGTTAAAATTTATTAAAATGGTAAAATTTTGGTCCAGAACAAATTTATTCCAAAACAGGTATTACTACCGTCCATTGGTCAAAATAAATAGTTGCTTGCAAGAGTATCAACCCAATTTTAAAAATGACTTTATGCAAGAAGTGTGGGGAGGGGGGAGGAGAGGAAGATACCTATTATTGTGGGTGCATCTATAAATGATTTAGGAAACCATTAATCATTATTTATAATATTTCACTGCAAAAACTAGCAGCAACGGACATAATGGGCTGCCGAAAAATCTGCATTCTAGTTACTCATGTTTATTCAAATGCAGAAAATATGCAGAAAAACAACATGAAATATAATACAAGATGGGGTGGAAATAATAGGGTGGGTGGAAATTTTTATCCATATCTTATAAATATGAGAGGTTTTATTAAACAAGTAGGAGGGACTTTTTACCTTATTTTTACCATTGAGTTTAGATTTTTTAATTTTTAGTTTTTAGAGACTGTTTCTTTGTTGATGACATGTAAAAATTAATAAATAATGGGGAGAGGGGTAAAGATGTGGATCTCAATAAGCTCAGGGTGGATGGAAAACTTTTTAAAATATTAATAAACGTATTCTCTCGTGTATGAAACACCTTAGAATACTGATGATGTGTTATTTAGCTCGTATGTCTAAGACAGTTATTTAAAGGTAGTATTCAGAGCTGGTGTCGTACTCATACATATAGTATAATATATATTTCGCCATAAAGAAAATATTTACAAAATTAGACTTTAAAAACTGTATATACACGGCTGGGGCAAGAAGAAGACAAATTCAGTCTTATCGCCAAGCCCCTTCAAACAAGAATATAAGTAACAAACAAAACAAAAAACCAAAAAACCAAAAAAATCCGTTATCACAATATAATATATGCATAATACATATAAAACTAATGTCTCAAGAACCTTTATTTTTTTCACTTATTTATAACTCAACTAACAGCGATGAGTATTTGTACTAAACAGATCATCTCACTGTCCACAAGTACAACCTCATCAATTTCAGTAAGAAATTTCAAAAATTTACCTCTGAACTGAATTCCACCGAACTACACTTTTTAAGATGTAATTGAGAACTTGAGAGTTGTAATTAAGTAACGTTAGATGAAATTGATAAGATAAATGTTGTAATTGAGAAATATTACGAAATGTAATTTAGAATACAAAAATTGTAACTAAGAAGCGTAAAATGTAATTTAGAAGATGAAAGTTGTAAATAAGAAATCGAAGATGTATTTGAGAACATAATAGCTGTAAATAAGAAAAGTTTAAAATATAGATTATTAAAACAAAGTTCTTTGTATTTTTAATTTTACTGTCTTTGCTTACCTTATTATTTAAGGTAGGATACTAATTTGTCGTTTGGTTTGCGTTGAATTTTGACAAATAATAATATACTAGCTCACCAGATCCGTAATAAAACGGACCTTTAAAAGCCTATTCCACACCGATCTTTCCTATACTTTTTTCTTTTATATACAAGCTATCCGGAACAGTAAAATATGTGTCTACGCCATTGGGTCATTTCTATACTTATTCCTTATTTACTTCAATATTTTTTTTTTATCTAGTATAATAGTATATAAAATAGTCATATATATAATAGTAGTTGTGCTTTACAAGAAATTACCGTCAGTTAGTTGTTTGAACAACTTAGATATTTCCGTTAAATATCTGGTCCGCAAGATATATTAATACATTTTTTTTTACTAAAACAATTTTGACGTCAAAGTTCATTTAAGTTTCAATCAATTTTTAGCAAATATTGCAAAGCATATATACTATTTAAAACATATACAAATAAACGAGATAATATTATTTACATAAAATACATTTATATTTTCCAAAAGTTGAGGTAACATGCAAAGCTCCAAATTTTTATAAATTGTTGTTTTTTAAGCAAATACCTCTAGCAAAAAAAACATTCTTTTGAAAATGCTTGGAAACATATTTTGAATATGTTACGATACAGAATTACGCTACTGACTCATTTTTAATGTGTCTAGACTACTGGTTTTGCTCTCAGATATTTTTCTTGCAATGGCTTAGTTGGATATTCAAAATTATTTAAAAAAGGAATCAGTTGGGTACCCAAAATAAAAAATGCAGAGAATAATTAATAAGAGAAAAAATCAATTAAATATATAGTATTTTAAACTTAAAGTTTTTAAAGTTCTCACCTTGACATCATAATCTTGCAGTTTAAATAATTTTTTTTAAGTTCAGGCATGCATAAAAATACTTTTTACACACTCAAATTACATTAGCAAAATCATGCATAAAAAAGCAAGTTAATTAGGCTGAGACAAATTATAAGCAGAATTGTTGTCAAATGAAATAAAAATACAATAAACGATTAAAAGATTCCTATTTAACGGCAATTCTAAGTAAGCGAACGCTTCGGTTGAGCACACTTCGGCAAATCAAAACTTGTAAGCATGAATACGTTGCGCAATATACTGCAAACATCAGATATAATGTACAAAACATCAACTTTGGCGTAAATTTATTCTAAATTTATTTTCAATTAGTTATTAAATTCAATGTAAAATGTATCAAATATTTTAGATAATAATTGTTTAAGAATACATAGAAACGATTATGAAAACTGTTTAAATTTTATTTGTTTTTGGATTATATTTATGTACTGGCTCGAGAGTAAACAACAAGATAACTAGTAAAATGTTTTATTTAAATGGTTGCAAATAACACGCAATTTTTAAACTAATAATAATTACAACCTCAGCATGTCAACGTTAAATCAATGTCGAAAATCGGTCGCAGTGTTGAAAAAGCGTTACAGTCTCAAAAACAACGTGTTTTCAACGTTGATTGATTCAAGTCTATTTTTGTAAACTAAATCGCGGTAAATCGAAACGTTTAATTAGCGCATGAATTCGCCTTTTCGCTGTTAATTTTTCAAATTTCCCTCGTAAAGCATTGTGAAATAACTGAGGCGCAAACAATAAAATAGATAACAAATATTTTCAAAACAGTTTTAAACAATTCTTTTAATTATGACTGATTCTTCATCTGATAACGAAAAAATAAACCATTTATGGATGAAATAAAAACTTGGTAAGTTATTAAACTGAAAGAATTCCTGGAAGCACGGAGTATTCCTCTTGGTGAAAATCCTTAAAAAAAAATTCTTAAAAAACAATTATTACTCCAATAAACTTAAATAACCATTAGAAAGATGAAGAAATCAAACCAAAGAAACTGAAGAAATCAAACCCAGATCTTTTCAAAGATTAAAATTCAAATCAGGTGTCCATTTTCCCTATCCTTTTGAAATCGGAAATTGGGTGTTAAAGAAAGGAGCGGTAACCACAAACTTTATTAAATAAAAACATTTCAGTTGAATTAAAAAATATGAAAAAAGAAATTGATGTTGAAGTAATGGCTAATAGTTATACAACAATTATTAAAAATAACATAAATATGCAAGAAAAGGTTTATAAAACGAATAAGGAAATCAACAACAACAATCCATCTATTCACAATAACTGGTTAAGGAATTCTAAATACACAGATGCAGTAAAAGAATACAATCAAGAATGGAAAACATATATTTGGTTTAACTACCATGGTTTTAGGGAAAGCAAATGTAAAACGCAATATAGCAAATTTAAAAAAATAAGAAATAAAAAAACATCACTATAAAGAAAACAAAAAGCTGATTAATATAAAACAAAAATTCAGTTAAAAATAATCTCAAAGCTGAGTGGAACTCGTTGAAATTGTCAAACCATTAATAAAGTCAACTATAATGGATGATATTAAATTTGATAAAGAAAATATTATTAGGAGTTTTCAAAAAAATGACACAAAAAAATCCACTCCAGTTAAATATAATATTTAATTTAAAGTTATATTGCTATGGAAAATTTATCACTAAATGATAATATTCCTAGTTTTTGTGAATTTACTCTTTTAACTATGCAAGACTTAAATGATAGAGTAAAATAATTAATAAAAATAAAAAAATAAAAAATAAAAAAATAAAACAAGAATTCAATGTGTGAGGACTTAAATGTTATTATATTTAAAGAATTATAGTCATCATTTTTAAGTATTCTATTAAAAATTATTCATTTATTGTTAAAAACTGGGAAAGTTCCTTCCAAATGGAAAAAGTCAACAATCATTTCAATTCCAAAGTTAATGTTAAAAAAGTTACCACAAGACTTAAGACCAATTAATATGCTTCCTACTTATGAAAAAATATCGGAAATTGCGGATCACAAGCAGTTGTCAAGTTATTTTGAAAGTTGTCAATTTCGAAAGCAATTATATTTTTTATAATAATTTGGCTTTAAAAAAATAGATCAACTGAATCAGCTATTCAACTACTGCTTTCTAAATTGAGAACATCTTTAAATAAAAAAAAATTTGTTATAACAGTAATGCTAGATCTTAAAAGGGCATTTGAAACAGTTAATAGAAAGATTCTTATACAAAAGTTACAAGGTTATAAAGTTAAAGGTACAGTTCTCAATTGGATTCCAGACTATCTTTCAATGAGAACTCATGTAGTCAAAATAAAAGGTGCAAACTGGTTTGTGATATATAGGGGTTCCGCAGGGTGTACTTGTACCTCTTTTGTTTATTATACCTATGAATGATACTGAATCAAAAATTGAGTATACTTTTGTAAATTTGTTAGCTGATGAAACATTGGTTTGTATTTAGGGAAAAACTTCGAAGAAACTATTTTTAAATTAAATCAAAACTTAAAAATACTTTTTAAATGGCTGAGTAATAACAAACTTAAATTAAATAATTGTAAGTCCATGGCAATGTTTATTTTTAATTCAAAAAAAAAAGAAAAAATAGTTTAATAAATAATAACAATAACGTTAAAGTTATTTTGGATGACGTAGTCATTGAGTTTGATGTGAGCGTGAAATATCTAGGGATTATTATTAATTACCAACTTAATTTTACAGAATATATCAAACATATCTCAAATAAAATTGCAAAGAAAATTGAATATCTTGGTAGAATAACTAAATATTTAACTCAATCGACCAAGATAATCTTTCAAACTATAATTGCTCTCCACTATAAATACAGTGCTTCTATTTTTCTTGATGTCAACACTAATAACTTGAATATCCTAAAAAAACTTCAAAACAAAGCAACGAGAATTATATTAAAATGTGACTGGTCAATTCATATAACAGAAATGTTGAAATTGCTTGGTTGAATAAGTGTAAAAAATATAATAATTTTTAAATCACTCTGTTTCATTCACAATGTTACATCAACTGAAAATGATATATTTAAACCATTATATTCAAAAAATAGCAATATACATCAACATTACACTAGACAAGCTAGTTATTTTCATAAAAGCAGCCAATACAATAGAGCAGGGTAGAAGTCATTGTTCATGTTTGGTTTGAAACTATACCAGGAAATAGCTTGTAGATTTGTTAAGCTACGAAAAATTCAAAAAAAAAGCTGCTTCAAAGTAAAGAATAATCAACTTATATAGCTAACAATTATTTTGCAATAGGGAACATTTGTTCTGTAAAAATTACTAAACTAGCATTAAGTTGCTAAATAAGTAAACTAATAAAAAAAAAAAAAAAAACTATTTGCATATTGAAACTTATGCTTTTCTCACTCACTGCTCTAAAGCCTTGAATGAAGGATGTTTTCTATTTTTCAGATCATGTAACTTCATTAACTTTTAACAGTTTCTCAAATGCTGTAAAATTTTGTTATTTAAAAGAAACTGTAGTCCCTCAAACAATAACAAATGATTAAGAATATGAATCATGGGTATGTTTAAATAAAAACAGAAGTATATTAACTGCAGAATGCAATTGTGTAGACGGTTATGGAGAAAACTGCAAATATATATTTGCTTCGCTATTACTTGTGGAAGAGCATGTGCAATTAGAAGAAAATGTAAAACAAAAATGAGGGACTAAAACACAAAAGAATTGAAAAAGTGCTGTAATTCGCCTCAAGTCGGATATACAATCAAAATACTTTATGAAAAATTAACCTCCAAATGCAACTAAAAACAAAGTGCTACAACCTACCATAAAGCAATATGTAGCTCAGATAGAATGTTTTTATGACAATTAATCAATAGCATTTAAATGAAAAAAATTTTTCGGGACATTTTTAGCAACACCATCTCAAGCTGAACTTGCAAAAAAGCTACAATATCTCAATCAAAAAGTTTACTTTTGGTTGGAAATTGTATAGAGTTGGAACAATATTGTCATCTATTGCTCATGTTGTCATAGCACAATTTGACGTTGACTTATATACGTTGATTTAAGTGAAAAACAAAAAAGCAGCATTTAATTTATGTGCTCAAATTTTAGGTTACAAGAATATTGCTAAAAGTAAATCAATTCAATGTGGTAACATGTAACAATCCTCTGCTTAAAAAAGATATATCAGAGAAATGAAAAAAACTCATATAAACTTTACTTTACACGTTACCAAACCGGGCTTATAGTATCAATTAATACACCTTATCTTGTAGCAAGCCATATAGATAGTATAACAAGTTGTATATGTTGTGGGCTTGGTTTAAAACTAAATGTCCATGGACATTTAAGGCAAAACAAGTTTATGAATAAGCTCAAAGTGCTCAAAGTGCTAACACAAACACACTGAAAAGTAGTCATCAATTTTGCACACAAATATAACACCAGTTATTTATGTTTTCATGTTTAGCATGTTTAGCATGTTTAGCATGTTTAGCATGTTTAGCATGTTTAGCATGTTTAGCATGTTTAGCATATGATCAAAAATGTGAAAGTATTTATTCTGATCCTAGCTATAGTAAAAATGAACAAAAATCTCAGAAATTTTTTACAGAGTATGTTTTCCCTGGATTAATCGCTTAATCCAGGAAACTTGAGGAAAAAAAATAGTATCCACAATTTTAAATGATCTCATAAAGAAATGCATTTATTATTCAGACAGTAAACAAGTTAATGAAAAATTAACAAACTACATCATAAATCTTGAGCAACAAAAAATATGACAATATACTGAAAATTTTTTTAAAACATTTTTATTATAAGTATTTTGTATATGTGTTTTTTTATATTACAAAAAAAGAATAGAGATATCTTTTTTATTTATATTAGCATATTTAATTTACATTAATTAAATCCTCTACAATTTGTTGTAAATTACTTAAAGCTTCACGAATATCATATATGTAATTTTTTTTATTCATTTCCTTTTATTTATTTAGTCAAAAATTAAGTTTTGTTAGTTGCGCCTCAGTTATCATATAATGCTTTACGTGTGAAATCCAAAAATTAATAGGCGAATTGTAAT